AAAGCGATGGAATATTGAAGTGTTGCGGAGGTATGAGTCCTGAAAGCAGCATTTCCCTGTCACTCCGCGAAATTTACCTGAGGCCATTTCAAGATCATGTGGCGCCTCGTTCACGGTCTTCTCACGTCCGCTGAAACAATTCTGGCTGTCACGCTGCTTCTGCTGGTCTGTCTCTTCGTTGCTGCTTGTGTCGCGGTGGAGGTGATCGCTAAGGACGAGGACCTTCGAAAATACGATCAGCTCACGATGTTTGTGATCGACGAGTACTTCAGCAGCCTGATGGTTGCCGTCATGACACTGATGCAGTTCGTGACTATGGACTCCCTGGCCACCATCTACTTTCCACTTATTGAAGCACGCCCTTATTTGGTCTTGTTCTTCCTGCCGCTTCTGATTTTCATTTCGATCGGCCTCATGAACTTGGTAACGAAATTCATCCAGCAAGCCTTTGTTGCTGTCTTTCCGAAACCTTTATTATAAGGCAGGCTGACATTACTCACAGGATCCGGAAGATTCGGAGACGTACTTATGATAGTAGTTCTCCGGCATCTTGGGAAGCACCACGGCTAGTCAGCTTCCTCAGAAGGTTGCCGATACATGACCAACTACCGAGTTCGATTCCTTTACCCGCATATAGTTGTTTGCAGAAGCGGCTTCAATCCCGGAATACATTCAGTCCTAGATCCCAGCCCTGAACTATCAACTCAACTGTCCCCTAAACATGGCTTCGAGATGCAGCCGCTAGGTGACAGCGGCCTTGGTCGAGAACGCCATGAAGCACCAAGCCGAGCAGGAGGAGGAGCACAAGCTTCAGTTGAAGGCATCTTGGCCGCCTTGTTCTTGTTTGGCCTTGGGTCCGGAACGGCAAACTACTTCGGGGCCGTTGAGTTTCATTGAGACCGAGGCGAAGGTGCGAGAGGCGATGCCGACTTTGATCAAGATTTTCCAAACGCTGGACAAGGACAACAGCGGCAACATTACGCAGGAGGAGCCTTTGGGCTGGGTTCATCCCCCGGGTTCGATCGCAAGGCTCGTAGACTTGTGATCTTAGCTTTCCCAGTCAATCTGCAGTTGTTTTTGGTTTTCTACTATTCTAGTATGCCTCTGGAGTGAACCTTTGCCTGTTGCAGCATAGCCCAAAGTATTAAGTAGACTCAATTGCATCATGGTATGGGAGTGGCCCAGGCTTCGGCATGTGCCTGTTGATGTGCTTCCGCCCAAAGTCTTGCAAGCAGTTTGCGCTGACAGCTGGGAAGAGCTTTTCGAGTATTTGGATGTGGATGGAACGGGAACACTCAGCCAGGCTGAGTTTGTTGAAGGGTTGCTGAACCTCTGCCTGCTGGACATGCCCATTGCGACAGTTCAGACTCTGAAGCTCCTTCAAGTGATCCGTGCCCACATCGTCAACATTGGCGATCGCCTTCCAGCCTTCAATTTTCAGCCCCAGCCAGTCGCAGCATCGACCCAATAACCTTAGGGGAGGATTATGTGAGGTACTGAAGTCCCTGTGAGGGAGTGGTTGAACTGCCGGGACGCTGTAGGAGTGCGCTCATAGGAAAGCAAGTCCACAAATTTTGAGAATGAGAGTCATAGCACTCAAGCAGGAAGGGCGCGAAATGAATCCGTTCGAGAATTACGACAAAATTTTCGGCCGAGCGAGAAAGACGTGCATGTGGTCTTGCACATCTCTTTCGGTCACACCAGGAAAAGGAAGCACTATCGGAGAATCCATGTTTCAGTCCCTGCAGGCATGGCTCCCGTGCAAGAGTCCCAGTGTTTTGATTGTTATGAGGTATGGATTTCGTTTTTGTGTTTCTACACTTGCGGACCTTCTGGCAGTACAGATTGGCAGTAGCATATTGTGAACATATGAACATAATACATGTTACCGTTTAAGTTTCACATGAATATTACGTACCACAACAATATTGCCTATGTTTTGTTGCTTTTAAACCCAGAACCAGTTCGTGATACAATTGCTCCACACACAGGCACTCTCCCTCGTGTATTTCTACCCAGAATATTTTGGAATATGTTAGATGATATGCCGAAAAAGCATTGTATATGTATGTAAATATATAGATACATTTCTACATGCGCTCGCCCGCCTCGGGAGGCCTCTAGCATGTAAAGGGTTACAGTAGCCAGTTGCAGCATGTACTCACAAAAGACGCAGGTCAGCGCATGTACGCAACTGATTGTTGTGTTTTCCATCTCCATGTTCGTCATGATTTCTGTCGGAAACCTATGTTTTCTGAAAGGCTTACGATGCTGGCTTGGTACTCGTATGGTGCTGCTGCCAAAACTACTTCTTGCATGCGCTTCCCGTATCGTCCTGCAAGTCCACTGTGAGAGTGATCACCCACATGTCAGTGTGACAGGTTTTTTATATCAGATTGACGGTATGCACCTACCACGCACCACGTGCAGAAGACTCTGTTCAGTATTCCACATCGCTTCTTGTACCTTTGTAGCATAGGAATATCCCCACAGGGTTCACCGAAGAAAGTGAGATTCGTTCCATGTCCCTGTAGGGCCTTCGTTGACCATCATTGCGATTTAGTTCAAGCCATGTTGCACACAAAGCGCAAGAAGTTGAAAGACTGTGTGTGAAGGAAGCATGCCAGCAGTCAGGACTGACGCCGGCACGAGCATTATGTGACACTTTTAGCATGTCGGTGATATCGATGAACTTAATAGCGGATGGTACAAGAACATGGAGGTACGGCAATGTAAAAGCAAAGCACCTCGAAGATAACAGATTAGGTCATTAGGTTCTTCTCGAATGTCAACGAAGCCGAGACAAGTATTTCAGCAAGCATGTTGTGATGCTATGACATTGGTCGCAGCAAAATGTTTAGAAAACACTTGCCAAGCGTTCACAAACAATCGTTGCGTTTCAGGGCTGTCATGACATTTTGCATTCAAAAACACTTCACAGCACAACGGATGAGCAATGCTGCAACACAAGTCGGAAAAGAAGTTCTGAACGGTTTAGAACGAGATGAACAAACAACTCCTTGCTTTGGTACTACCTCCATTGTGCCAGTACTATTGTAATCATGTGAGTGTTTGTGCAGCAGTTTCATCGTTGATATGCTGCTGCCGCGTTGCCCTTTATACTCGGGGCATCTCGGAGCTGACTGACATGAAACACGTCATTTGCATGTGGAGTTTACCGGAATGTCTGACACCAAGTGACTCGTTCAGCAACGGGTAGAAAAGACTCGGAGCGGGTGGGAACAATTTTCGGAGCCCCGTTCCCGGCGGTGCGACTTGGTCTGCTCGGCGGGTGGAAATACTCGTGTTGAAGCACGAGCATGCCGCATTGAACATTGTGGTGGCGCAGAGAGCATAGAACCACAAGCGGCGACAAGCACATTGAAATTGCTCTCTGCTGTGAACAAACCAGTTGGGCAACACAGCAGTATTGGTGGTGTAACCATTGTTGGTTAACATTTGATGTCTAGATACTTATGGTATGATGTTTGGAGTGGGAGTGGTGGCATAAGAGCTGCCAGCACTTGAAGATTGAAGTAAAAGCTGTGCTTTGAGTGCCACAGCCACGCAGTCGAAATACAAGATCTGCATCGGGGCAGAATCTACGTCAAGTCTCAGGCACTGAGTGTAAAGAGTTGACTGCATAGTGAGAAAGAAGCCACGGAGCCAGAGCCATTGTATTGAGAGGATAGCAGCCTCGTTGCCAGATCACCTTGTGCATTTCATGCATCTTCTTGCCATGACGCAGGTTTATGCAGAGCTAGGCCGCATCAACAAAAGGGACAGACACTTCGTTGACGCGAGAATACTGTCACCATTCCGAATAAAAAACGCACGCTGACAAAAGCAAGGCGCTAAAGTAGCAAACATACTGCCTTGGCACGCAGATGATTTCACGATGGTTGATGGTTGTTCTTCATTCCTGACTGCCAATGGCCGACGACTGCATCTTCAAGACAGACGGGGCACATCAAAGAAAAAAAGGACACCAATAACTCAAAACAGGCTTGACGCCACATCTGGCGCTATTTTTTGTGTTGTTGTTCCTCAATCTGTGTTTGCAGAACCCATTCACGCCCGCTCAAGCATGAACTCAGAAGGTGCACTCCCACAGGACCCTGGCTCCAGCTGAAGTGTCATTGCTCACCGGCTCCAACCGCCTCGTCAAACTGATGACGGCATTCGTTTCACAGAATGCAGGGTTTCAACCTGGAGAAGCGCAGAACCATTGTGACCGTGGTCACAGGTCGCGCCAGCCTCATTCTACACACACAGTAGTTACCTGAGCTCCCTCTCTGCCCCTACAAGTGGTCGAGTTCCTCTGCAAACAGCATAGCCGACATAGCCAGCTAAATGACTGCAGTGTAGGACCTCGCCAGCAAGCTCCACGACTCGTCAATGAGTCAAGATGCATTCAGTTGTTGTTACCAGTACTACCAGGATCTGTTTGAATGCTGGTTTTCAGGAATGCCAGCAGACAATCTCGATGGAAGAACCATCCATGGTCAGGCTCCGAGTCCGCCACATTCCATAGTCAGATTCTACGAGTTCTCTGCGGTGGTTCAAAACAGAGACGGCCCGCGACTCCTGAATCTATCTGAAGTTTTCGATTCGTAGAGATATCCGACCTTGCCCTATATCGCAGATGAGGTTTTGAGGTGTTAGATTTGCAACAGTTTCCTCATCAGACTGTGCAGTACGAAGTAAAGTAAACTTTCAGATATGTTCTCGAAGCTGACGCCTATGGGTTCAGGTTGTTGGGACTTTCTGATTGCTGGTACAGTCCGTCAGTTCATGTGGCGCAGGTGGCCATTAAGTGATGCTGCAAGTCCGAGTTGCCAGAGCCGAATCCCAAACAGCTGGAAGAATTGCCACCAGCTCCGATGTGAGGTCAGTAGACACTCTGGCCCCTCCTTGTTAATTCTGCACATGCTTTTGACCCTGACACCCAAGCACAGTTCAGCTGTAAGATCTCTGAATTTTGCTCCGTGAAAGTGGAGGCCTACAGACGCAAGCTGGCCGACATATGTTTTGTGAGCGCCTCGGTCGCTTCGGTCAGTTACCTACAAGCTTTTTGAGTGAGTGGAGGGTGCTATACTCGCATTGACGGTTTAAGGCTTGTCTATTTCTTGAGTCTAACACAGAACGAATGGACACAGCTGGGCATTCGCCGCATGCCGTCCATGCCGCAAAACCCACAATCGACAAATCACGAGAACTGGCTTGACGGTTTGGTGGCTCCTACGCAAACTTCGGCTATTGCGGCAGATTCAGTCAGCCTCAGTCCAGCAGTCCAGGATAGCAGGTCCGGCAGATTTCCTTGTAGATTCTAGACAGCACCGGTGTGCATGGGCATTTATGCGAGCTGTCAGTTTGCTGTGGGGGACCATTTGTGGAAGGATCAATTCGCCGTTGCATGCCGTTGCTCATTCAAACCATTTCGTTCCGTGCCGGCCTTTTCGAGCCCTCGGGAATCATCCGCCGGTGTATGACTCGCTATGAATCCAGTGTGCATGACTCACAAATGAAGCATTGCATCAACATCTGTGTTTTCCACGAGGCCCTGTAAGGTGGGCTGATGCCTGCAGTCAACACCTCGTGTCTGCGTGTTTAAAGGAGCGCAATTGGGCTGCGAGTTGCGACATGATGCAATGGAATCTCAACGTTCTGTTGGTTCTTTGCCTCAGCCAAGGACGACAAAACTTCAAGCTTGCACAAATTAGCAAACATTCAATCAGAACCCGAGGAAGTAACAGGCAGTCTTATTGCAACATCCTTCCAGCTGCCAGCTTACCCAGAGCCGTTGGGCTTGCAGAAGGTGCCCTGTCACGACTAATGCCTGCAGTTCGATTGCTTGGCTGCATTGCAGCGATATCTGTGGTCTGTCCCGAAGGGAGTAGGCCTCTGAGAGGGTACTGGCAAGCACCTGACAGCCACCAGGCGAGTGAATCTCAGCAATACACAGTGACCATTCGTGTGGCTGCAAAGGACGCTTTCGGGCGGGAGCCCCCGCGCCTCGATGTCTCATTTATCCCGCCAAGTCACAGTGAGAGCCAAAGGGTCACCGCGTACTTCCCCGGTGCCGATGACAACGCTGAGACGATGATGCCGAGTGGCCTCCGAGACGGAGCGAGTGCAAACATCTCTGGATATACAGGCATAGATGCGACGGAAGCTCGGGCTCTCAAGGCTTGCATGTTGGATCAAGACTTGGTGATGGGTCTTCATGCTGCAAACATCCGACCTGAAGAGTCCGACAAGCGCAGCATTTTCGTGGTTTCCAGCATAGAATACGAGCGCAATGTCGGACAAGTGACCGACAGTGGGCGACTGAGCGGAGGAAGTCTCGGAAATGCAGCAGCCAAAAACACTGCAGTTGTCGTCTTGTACGAGCCTTGCGAAGAAGCCCTCTCGCCCGAGACAACGAGGGACCGCTTGCAGAGCGCTTTCTTTGAAAGTACCACTGGCTCTTTCAGCCAAGTGCTGGACGTCTGCTCTCGTGGTTCTCCGGCACAGTGATCGGCCCGTTCCGCGGCTGCCCAGATTCGACAGATGTCTGGGCTACTTACGTTTTTGTGGAGAAGCAGTTGCGTGGCACACCCGAGTGGGACAACAACGAGTTCAAGCTTCTGGTTTTGCCACGTCTGTGGATGAGTAGCGTCGGCGTCGGTACAGTTGGTGGCAGCGTTTCTTGCTACCGCGATGACTATGTGGGCTATCCGTCACTGTTTCTCCATTCAATCGGCCACTTGCTGCGACACAGTTTGTTACAATTTCTTACACTCCTGGCAACTCGGGTTTGCAGACTACGCAGCAGACGAACTGACGATGAGCACTCTCCTCTCCGGTGGCTCCACTGCACTGACGCTCAAGGCAATGGGCAACGAGTTCTCGAGCGGTGTGAAGATCCGGCTGGACATGTCCTCCTACACTTCCGGAGACAAAGATGGACGCACTAGGCTCATCGTCCTCTCATGGTGAGGGAGTGTGGGAACCGACCAGTATTTGGAAGGCTCAAAACGAGGCAACCACGTGCAGGTACACAACTTTGATGGAGCCGACAGTAAAGACGACGCCTCTCAGGTCCGACTCCCGCACGAGGCGGGTGCGAGCTCTCAATAATGATTTGTTCCCAGGGCATCGCTAGAGTTATCTTCATGTATATGTCGTTGTCCCACGTCGCATCCATTTTCCGAAGACGACCCTCAGGTGTTCAGGGGCAGCAGCCTCATTCTGATGGACAGGGACAGAAGTGGCCTCCGAATAATGACGAACTTGAAGATGACTGTAAAGGGTTCACGGTTCGGCCGATACTGCGACACAGTGGATGTACTTTTCTGCAGGCGTTTGGACCATGAGAATGGCAATTACAATGATGACCCCTTCTCCCTTGTTCGGCAGCTCATGCCATGTCCGGAGCCTGGGACGACACCCGCACCGCAGACCACTACTTCCACGACAACCACTACGCTTTATCCCATGGTTGAGATTCACGGTACCATCACTGTCATGGGTGTGGACTGTTCCTTGCTTGCCAGCGAGAGCGCAAAGCTAGGACTGGCATGGGGTTTAGCGAGCAATGCTGTGGTTGTCGATGAGGGGCAAGTCATTGCCGTGGAGGTGCCATGCGAGCGACTGTTGGCCTCTCGCTCCCTCCAACATGCGGCCACAAAAATATACTACACCATCCTTGAGACCGTCCACATGGCTGGTACAGTTCAGGGGGCGATACATAACACGGTATTACATGAAGGGACAATTGATACGAACCCTGTTGAACGTTGGCATTTCTGCTCCCGACATTGTGGTCACAGAGGTGGGTCTCACAGTGCAGGGGACAACCACCACCACCACCACGACATCCATCAGTGAGCCGTCAACCACAGAATCATCAATCGCAGAATCGTCAACTTCGTCAACCACGAAGTCATCAACCCTGGGCTCGACCACAACAACACCGACAAAGATGATAGATTTCCGCGGGGGTGCATGGTCTAAGTACTTCAATGACCAAGCCGAGTCGGAAAGCATTGCGTCGGTGACAGCTTTGGCGGGCGTTGTGTGCTCTGGCGATTTCTGCCGCAACCTGCGCCTGAGCCACCGCCAAGACATCGAACTGCGCAGTACAACTGTGACCATCCAACAGCTTCAGGTTGAAGTCGGTGAACTCATTTGCCAGACTGGGCAGATTGCCATAGAGGTAACCTTTATGAGCAAATCGTGCTCCTTCTTCGGCCTGCACTGTGCAATGCCAAAGGCCGGAAGCATCAGCCCCCTTGGCGATGAAACTGCTTGGTTCCCTTATTACGTGCACAGCACTGGGGACGGCATGTGCCCTGGCAACAGTGTCGTTGTGGGCAAGAAGTGCGGCGGGGCGGAGTGTGCCATCGAGAAGCTGGTGTGCGCGCCATAACTTGGGGTGAGTGCAACCCCTCGTGCGAGGTCCTCAGTCTGGAGTGTGGGGACGATGGCTGCGGTGGTTCTTGCGGTACCTGCACAGCCCGCAGCGATAACGAACTTGCCCCAGTCTGCCGTGGAGAAAATGGCCGATGCGTGTACTTCGTCACATCTGAATGGGCGAAGAGCGGCACCGCCATGGCCAAGACTCCAAGACGGACCTAGTTTCAACAGGCATGGGCTGTGCTGGGAGATACTGTGAGTCTGTGAACTTAGTCCAGATGCGTTCCTATGTAGATGCTGCGACAGCAGAGAAGTCGGGGTGGATCTCGGACAACACTGGCAAACGCTGGTTCTGGAACACGGGCACGCAAGCTGAGGATCAGGTGGCCGACTGCCCTGATGGTATGGCTGTGACTCACTTGGAGTGCAGCGGCAAATACTGCGACAACCTTCGCATCCATTATGCTAAACCGCTGCAGTGGGTCGTGGACATGACGGAAGATCCGGTGGTGACCGCGTGGTTCAGCGAGGAGCAACAAAGGATGGATTGCCAAGAGGGCAGGCAAGGTGGTGGTAGGCGTGGAGTGTCAAGCCTCAAAGGGGAAGTTGTGCCTTCGAAGATGTGGACTCTACTGTGACAACATGCGCTTGCGCTGTCAAGGAATCCGCCCAGAGATGGCAGGTGCTGCAGTGCTTGGCATCCTCGGGGCTCGTCAGATGCCTGCGTCCACACAAGCAGCCCCGCCCGCGAGCAGTCCGTGCTGGTCCAGCGCCGGTGACCTTACAAATGGTGCTTGGAACCTGTTTTCTAGTTCCAGTATTTCTGGCGCCAATGTCGGCTCCACCAGCCTTCCCTCGTCCGTACTGTCATTGGCTGGATGCAGGCTGCTCAACTTGTTGACGCTTGCCGGTTGAAAATCTTCCGGTCAGGTTGCTTTTGCAAAAGAGCTTACCCATAAATCCTATAGTGGGCGTCGTTTCTTTTGCATCTCTCGTCCAAAGCGCGAGGCTTCGGACGGCAGAGTTGTCGAAAGGGGGAAAGATGACCGGGAGAACTTGAACAGTCCAAACCCTACCCCTACCTACCTGCCTACTCGGAGCTCCTGCATGCTTACTGTGATACGTTCGAGGTCAGGCCAGGATCTGGCGAAGGCTACCTCGCCACTGCTGCTAGTGAGGTTGCCCTTTCTGCAAAGCGAGGAAAAGCCTGTGGAGGACAGCTTTTTGAGGGTTTGCACCTGCCATACCATCTCTCGATCCGGTGTCCTTGCAGCAGGCAGACCCTCCAGATCGGGGTGACTCCGACGAAGATGTGGAGATGAAACATTCTGAAAGGGCTCGTGCGTCGACAGGAACAGCTGGGTGGCAAGAAGAGACAGCATTCCGGAGGTCAGGTCAGGCACAGGTGCAGCGGCTCCGTTCTTCCTTTAATTGTTTCAGGTAGACATCTCGTCCGATTTTCTTCTGAGGAGAGGAGATGGCTGGCAACAGGGGTTCTTCGACTCGGAAGCCGAAAGGCGTCTCAGCTGAGACTTCGATGCCGATGGTGTTACAGGAGTATAATGCGGAAGATGCGGTTGGTTGTTGGGTGCTGCCGTGGCGGCAGCTCGTTCGAGGACGCGGAGGTCCTCAAGATGGCTAGCAACGGCGACCGGGTCATCATTGACATTCGCAGCGTCCAGGTAAATGGCTTTTGCTTCGCAGCTGGTTTCCATTTGAAGGCCTCTTTTGTCTGCAGTCTTCCCAGCCGCACGTATGCGGCAGCCTCGGTTTTGAGAGTCCGCAATACCATGTTTAATACGTTCGCGGAATTCTGTGTGCATTTCTGGTCGCAGCGCATCGCCGATGAATATTTCGAAGGTCCCGACATAAATTTAGATGTTGTCGAGAGACTTGAGATATGCCTGCTCGATGGCATGCATCATCTGCAATATTCCAAAATATCAGGTCGCTTTCTGTGCTATGGCATATGGCACGTTGAAATTGAAATCCATAATATCTTATATTATTGTCTAGTTGCACTGTCGGACTGTCACTGTCGTATTCTTGTACCACTCTGAAACACCCACGTGGTCCCTAAGCACACGCTGCTGCAGGTTAGGGGTTGCATTATTATTGCGATAGTATATAGTTATATGCTGTTATAGTTGTTTTTGTATGTTTATACTGCGTGTTTGCATGTGGCTCCGGGCCGCTAGATGGCGCCACTGTAGTTAGTGCTTCACGACTGTGCATGCAATATAGTATACACCATAGTACATTAAGTACATCATACTAGCATTTGTACCGTTATTTTGTAGTACTATAGTACTAGAGTAGTACACTGGAATCTGCTTCTGTGCATTCGTCAGGCGCTCGACAAGAACCGGGCTAAGGCCAGAGAGTCTAGCTAATCATGACTTTGAAGCATGCCAGCAGCTCACAGGTTTTGGCAATAAAGACCGACAGTGAGACAAAGCATTTGCTTTTCATGGCGATGCGACAGAGCAGCGGGAGAAGGCTGCCTCCATGCTCAGACTGCCTCCATCAGCGGTTGCAAGACGGATCGCTGCTTTTGTGTTTTTTGCTGTAGCCAGCCATGCAAACACAGACCTAGCTGTTGATAAGATGGCTCTGGTGGATGCAGTCAACGACATTGTCATTGCTGAATTCGACCCTCTTGAGTCTGGGACGACACTGTACCTGGACGAGCTCCCTGCACAGATCAATGTTGTCGCCACTACCCTTCAAAGTGTTGGAAGCATGCGGTTCAAAGTCAACGGAAACCACTTCAGAACTGAAACCAATCCACCCTTTGCCATGGCTGGGGATAGTAGTGGTAATTATCACGACTGGGGGCCATCGCCTGGGACGTACCTTATAGGTGCCCAGGCCTTTGAAAATGCTGGTGGCAATGGAGATTCTGGGACCGAACATGTGATCGTCGTTACTGTTGCTGCCACTCGCCCAGTGACGACGTCGTCGAGCACCACAAGTTCCTCGGTCACCACAAGCTCCTCAACTTGGACGTTCACATCTAGTTCTAGCACCACCACAAGCAGCTCATCAGCCAGCTTGACCACGACCTCAACTGCCACAGTGTCTTCGACCACAGCTACTTCATTGACGTCATCGTCGTCAAGCACCAGAAGCACCAGGACCACGACCTCAACTGCGTCGTCGTCAAGCACCACAAGCACCAGGACCACGACCTCATCTGCCACAGTGTCTTCAAGCACATCTACTTCGTTGACGTCATCGTCGTCAAGTACCACAAGCACCACGACCACTCCACTCACGAGGACTGTAAGCAGCTCGACCACATCCACTACATCTTTGTCAACAAGCACCTCGCTGACAACCTCCACGGCACTCTCAGTGACATCAAGCAGTTCCACATCCGCCACATTTAGTACCTCTCTTTCAACCACAGTCTCGACTTCAAGTACAGTCTTGACATCAACAAGCAGTTCAGTATCAACTACAGTCACAACATCAACAAGCAGCTCAACATCTACACTTTCGGCCAGCTCCACTTTCACAACAGTCTCTTCCTCAATCACCACGACTGCAGCAACGTCATCTTCAGTCACCAAGATGCCCCGCACTTCGACATCTACAACCTCTTTGAGCAGCACAGTTTCTTCCAGCGACTGCAATACTTCCATTGGGGTGCCGAGGGTTCTACTTCCCGATAGCCTTATGCAGAGCCCACATGGGGAGATTTTGTCCAAATCGCTGGAGGCTGCTTCAACGTTCTTCTGCGAGGATGGCGGTTTACATGGCACGACAACAGCGGTTGGGGCAGTGACCGCGATAAAGCTAACCGCTCAGACAGACCCGGTGGTGCTAGACCTGAACACAAGCGAAGACAGCTTGCCCATGAAAATCGTACTTCCACAAAGTCTGCTGCAGGTTTTGCTCCAAAGTGGCAATGCTATGATGGTCTTCACAGAGGTGGCAGCGGAGCTAGCTCCAGCGTTTGCTGTGCAGGGCGTTGACGGAGAAGATGTGGTTCTGTCGTCACGGCTTGTGGAGCTCTCCTTCATCAGCGAGAATGCTGGATCGTTGACTCTTCTGAACGTTTCAGGAAGTGAAGGCATCGTATTCTCGTTCGCTTCCCGCGCTCCGCTTGAGGACGAAAGGTAGCTTGGTATCTACTGTGCAGCTCAACCTGTAAGATCTTCTCAAGCCAGGAAGAGCAGCTTGATTAAGTCGCCCAAACCCCATCGGATTTGTTCTTGCTCTCCTTAATGGGCCCCCTAGGTGTGGATTCTTCGACCCCAAGCTGGGTGCTTGGTCGGAGGAGGGGGTAGAGTTCTTGGCCCACTACGAGGACCAGTGGGTGTATCCAAGTAGCTATAAGGCTGCTAGATAGTTCTTCCAGCTCCGGATTGCGATAGTATCACTATAGAACCTAATAGTACAAGTACAGTGTAAGTATGCTTGTAAGAAAGGCAATCCTTTGGTTACCAGGTTCATGGCGAAAGCATCAACCGGTCCTGGTGCCGGACCACACACACATCCCTCTTTGCACTCCTGCAGACGCTACCTGTTGACCGGGCCATTGGGGCAGGAGCTTTCATCGACGTGAAAAGCTATGCAGGGGCTGTAGTTCTGTGCGTCAATTTCGCAGTTATATGTTGCTTGCTTCTCTGCATTGTTTTGCTCCGACGCGTGCGGAAGCCCACCACCGGACATGTCAAACTGGTGACACAGAGGCTTGTGCATGGCCACAAAGCAAAGGTGCGCACACTTTCCTTTAAACTCAGCGATCTGCCGGGCGAAGTGGATGTGGAAGGAGGCCCAGCAGCCCAGCCAAAGGTCCATGTGCGGTGGGACGAGGACCTCAGCATGCTATTATTGTAATAATATAGTATGTTTACTGTTGTTAGTAATATTCTTTATAGTGTTATAGAATGAGTATTAAAGTAATATAAAATGATTAGTATAGTATTGCAGTACTACTGTTTTTGGTACTAGTAGCATTACAAGACTTGAGGACCTCAGCATACTGGAGGACCTACATTACCTGCGCCGGGGCCGCCGTCAAGTTGTTGTCAACCTTAATATCGGGCCACCTCAGCGCAAGGTGCCTATGACGCAAAGGCTGTGGTGCTTTTGATTGCCCTTAGCCCACGTGCTCAAGCCATTCCGGGGACTATCATTGGAGACACTCTCTGTAGGCGTTCCTATACTGTAGGAATGTCTTCCTCCATTATTGGTACCAACTGACCCGGGAATCAAAGGTGGATTCGGCCGACTCCTATCGAGATCCTCTTCGGGAGACTGTTCGACCGCAGTGTTCCACGAATGTGGATGCAGGCAAGAGCTGGTATAGGCAATCTTCGTGTTCCGGTGCTAGTGATCAAACGGGTCCGTTGTTAACTTATCTTCCATGCCCTTTCCTGTCGAACTACGAAAACACAGCAGTTATTTCCGTTTTCCCTAGGAATAACGACTTCCGGTAACCATGGCAGCCTTTCGCGCAGAAAGCTAGGTGCTCACCTGGAGAGAGAGCCCTCGGAGACCGAGCCGTCTTCTCAGGCCAACGAGCTGGTGCTTTCAAGTTTGGATGAAGCAGTGGACGTCATCTCTGCCGGCGTGGATGATCTCTACTTCCTGGAGACCGACTCTATTGTGTCTGCAGGGCTGGATGGCTTCGTCTTGTACGTGCCGCCGTCTGAAGCCTACCTGGAAGGTGAATGGGTCCTGTACTTTTCTTCGACCCTGGCATGCATGGTGCCAGCTAGAGTCGCAGGGCCAGGCACATACTAGTACAATTTTAATACTAGCCTATACTTACTATAAATTATACTATAGTCATGATACAAAAACATTACAATTATATCGCGCCAAAAACCTTGAACCACAAACAACCCACTGCTTTGCACCTTACTTGAGACCGCGCCCTGCCCCGCTTTGCCCAAGAGGCACCTTCCAAAGCGAAGACCCGAGCGAGCTACCGTCCTATGCTTGCCGTGTCGGCCTCCGAAACCAGCTGAGGGAGGCAGACTATTAAAGAGATATAGTCTTGTTTCATAGGAAAGTACTACTATGGCATTATGAACATATTATAGTATGCTGTAAAAAAGGACTTGGGGCTCATTAGCGTCTCGTCGTACACCAAGAGCAAAGATTCACGTTCACGTAGGTTGGGGCGCAGTATTGAAAGCTGCAGGCGTTGGATCTTAGTATTGGAGTGCTATAGTATTGCTATGGCAGTATAGCTGAGTGCAGGCTGTACCCCTGCGAGCACTACGACCAGTTCTGCAGGCAGGCGAGCACGTGGAGGTTTATTCTGAGAAGGCCAGAAAAAGCTTCCGCTTGTTTATCCCCAAAAAACCCTAAGGCACTGTTGTATTGCCTTGCATCCGCATATAGTCTAGTGATGAAAATATATTTAATTAGTTCGATGTATCCAGTATTTCCGCTCTTTTCCGAATATCATTGGAAATCGAATTGGAAACCAGCGCGAAAGCTCATGAGTGTGAGCTTCGTGCTCCTGCCATGCCCGACCACCCTCCAAATAGTACGTACCATACTGATAATACAACGATAGATAAGAAAAACTATTATAATGATACGACCATAGTAATTCAAATTAATTTACTGATAATTAAATAATAATTAGGTTATGACAAGTGGGCAAATCCATGGAGTCCCGAAGCAAAAAAAAGTAGATTGTAATAACAATACCATGTGAGTGCCAAAAATAACAATACTATCATAATAATTGTAGTAACAATAGTAATAATGTTTACTATATTTGTAATGCTTTATTCATAACGATGATACTAGTTATAATATTAGTCGCGGCTGACAGGAGACTGAAAGAGAGAATACTAGTACTATGAAAACAATGCTGCTACTATGGTAATTGTATTATAAGATTAATATTATCTGCATAGAAGGCTTGGATGCCTGGCGTGGTACGGACCACGCCGCCCAGCCGCCGCCCACCGCACCTTTGGACTTTCCGGGTGAGGCTCTTGTTATAGTATTGGTTTAGTTTCTAGTATCATTGTAGTACTATAGTAGTACGAAAACAGTATTATAGTACCAGTATATTGCCATCATGGTATTTGTTTTGTACTTTCATAGTACTACCGCAGTATGGGAATCGGAGTTCAGATTCAGGGCTGATTGGAGGGCGCACCAGAGTTCCCTTGAAGCCTGGGAGGCTCGAGGACCAGAAAAGGCAGGACCTGGAGGTTCCTTTGAGCATGCTTCGACGTCGGTTCCTGGCGGGCGAGCAGGTGGAACAGAAGGGCGTGGGCTGCAGCGCTCTGCAGGGGTTCTTAAGAGTGTTCAGGGATTCGTAAAGATTAGTTTGTTGGGGAGTACTTACCGGGTATACCGATTCTATTGGAATTCTGTAAGGCGATAAACAGAACGCGGTGGGCTTTGAGTACAGATTCCTGTTCAGAAGTGTCCATTGCATGTCCGGGGGATCTTGCTACACTGGCGATCATTGGTGCTAGTAGTTGCTAACCCCACATACCCTGTATAACATACCCTGCAGGCCCACTATATTCATGTACCCCTTTTTTGCTCCTTTAAACTTAGGCACACCTGGCGACCCTTCTTAAACCTCGCAGACCCTAGATACCCCGTTAAAACCCCCTCAGGTGGAAGCCTACCTGGGCCGTGGAGCTGGTTGGGTCTCAGCCATTGTTAGCGATACAGTGGTTGAAATCCCATTGGCCACCACATGGTCACAGAGGTGCAAGGGCTTTCATACGGGTACATAGAGGAATTATCGGTGCATATCGGGACGGAGTGTTGAGAGTTTATCAGGTTTACAGGGTTTATTGTACATAAAAAGAGGTCGGAAGCATCTATGACTTCCGTTCCGTCCATTTTGGACATGGACCTGCAGCTTGCCAACCTGGATACCACCGTGCGGATCTTCCTTGTTACTGGGTTGCTGCTAAGGAACTTACGGGGGTTTAGGGATTCGGGTTGAGATGTGTTTTTTTTTGGGGTGAATGTTACATAGACGAGCATAGAAAGGATACATGAGGCCCCCACACTTGGGGAGCCAAGTAAGAGGTAGACTTCTGCTACGGAATAGAAATCCACTTACCATAATATCAACTACTAGATACTCCACAATAATACGATAATAGTATTGTAATAATACGATGGTAGTGCTATAACAATACTATGATTGTCGTTTAGTTCAACCCTTAACCCAACACTCCTAGAAGCCTGCGCTCTGCGAGCGTGCCAGTCGAAACTCCCAGGACTCCTCGAAGCAAGAGGTGGAGCTTCCAACCTCGCAGCTCCGAAGTTGTCGTCAGTCAAAGCTGTAGACAAAGGAACTTCGCACCTGGGGCAGAACCCCGTTCTATAGTAGTACGATAATGCTACAACAGTAGCTTCGTATCCTTCAGTATTGCATCCGTGCGAATTGCACGAGCCTCAGCTCGCCCAAGGACGGCTGCGCTAAGCTTTTTGCTCTGGAACCATGTACAGGACAGTTATGAAACTCCTCTTCGAGGGGAACTCATGGTAGTTGATCGGTGGCTCCTTGGAAGCTCTTACCGAGCCTGCCTCAATTTTGTCTACAGACTCTTGCGCTTTTGCAGACTTAAGGTCAAGGCAAGTGAATTCGTTTATTGCATGCATCTTGGTTTGTTTGCCACACAAGCATGGCATGTAAGCAAAAAAGAAACATCGACTGCAATATGGGATGATCAAAACGGTAGAACCCCCAACAAGTTTAGGGGTAGCAGTATTCTCGTACTATCATCTTACTACATTATAATACGATAAACACCTTTCAGGGGGCTCCGTTATTCAGATTCTAGATCCTCCCGAGGGTCTGAGCAGACAGTGCAGATTTATACACAGCCATCTTGTAATAGCACTAGTATAATACCACGGTAATATTATACAAATACCTTATTAATACTATAATAGGATAATGGTAAAAAATAACTACCGTGCTGCTGGAGCGGGCGGTGCCATCGTTCATGCTAGATGAAACTTATGGAAGCAAGCTCTTGGAATTTCGACCATATCGGTGTGTTACCTCATGGCCTGCCCTGGGTCATGCAGGGTTTGGAGTGCTGGTTCTGGGGCTTCGTGCGTAGGGATTACTTGTTATTGTTATGATTTCTAGAAATACCCCGCCTCAAGCCCCCAAGCAGAGTTTGCACAGGATATGTTATCGCTACCTGTCACCCCGGAGTTTTGGAGATGCCTCATGGGTGGATGCTTTTAAACCCCACAACCCCGAAGCGCTAGATTCCGCTAGACCTGAGAATACTATAATGAGACTGTAACACTAGAACTGGTGCCGCTTTGGCTCATAGAACGAGGCCCTCTCCTATATCCCTCTAAAGCCAGCCCTAGTGAGATCGAGCCATGGAGCATTCGAGGGACGGCTGCGTGGCAGAATCCAGGTGTCGACTGCTCTTTCAAACCCCAGCCGCGAGGCGCATGAAACCTGTCCCCTTAGTTTGTAAGATTTAGGGTTTGGGGTTCAGGGCCGTGTGGCACGAGTCCACAGCACAGTCGGCGCCTCGGTTCCTGGCATATTCATAGTCCAGGTGAAAAAGGGTTTGTGGGAGGATGTCGAGGGTTTGGCGTTTGTTGAAGGTTTTTTGCTGTCAATCTGATGTTTAGGGTTTGGATGGTTTGAGATGAGGATTTCGGGCTTATAGCAGGTTTCATATATTATTATAACCCTAAACCTTTCTTTGGCGCGGCCAGGCCACGCGAGGCCGCAGGCGCAAATCTGACAAACTCAGAAAAATGGAAGGGTTTAAGTAAATTGAAGTGGCAGCCCCCGCGGAAGGGTTTAAGTCAATTGAAGTGGCAGCCCCACGGGTTAAGGGTTTAGGGTTTAGAACAGGAAAGCTTGTCCTCGACAGGACGGTCCTTTGCTGGGGTTGAGCATCCTGGGGATGTTCAAACACGACGCTAGTTCTGCTACTTGTAGCGTCAGTAATTGCCGCTCGTATTGGCGAGCAGTTCAAGAATGAGAGCGTAGGAGTGCAGCGTCGCCTTGGAAGCATCCTGTACGAGCGACAGTGCGAGCATAGGTTCTGGGATACAACTGTGCCTTGACATGAGGATTTCGAAAGCAGCTAGTCCTCACATTGATATCAAGACTGCATGACCCTGACTAATCCGCGCATCTAAATGGTAGGG